ATATCAAGACTATACCGATCAGATATTCTTTTAAATAAATGTTGTCCCGATATTTTCGCGATAAATTATGGTGATGAAGTGACGATATCAAATCAATATCGAAAATACTACATCTTTTTTTTTTGAAATTACTGACATCGTAATGATATCAAGACTGTGCCGATTTGATATTCTTTTAAATAGATATCGCCACGATATTTTCACGATAAATTATGGTAATGAAGTAACGATATCGAATCAACATTATAACAATATCATCACGGAAATTGATACCATTATGACATGAAATTTATATCGTATCCATATCAATTCAACATCGCTCAAATTTTCAAGGTTTCTGTAAAGTTTATACAGTAATTCATTTTTCATCTTTAAAAATTTAGCAAATACAAATTTTACAACATTTTTTTTTCTATTAAACTCAGAAAAATAAAATATGGATCATTAGATTTATCTTGTTAAGATATATTATATTTATTATTTTCATATCTCTAGGATTGATGAATCAAAAGTTATTTGCATTTTACTGTTTTTAGACATTTAGCAATAACTTCTGATTTATTAAACTTACAGACTTGAAAATACTGTAGTTAGATGCGTCTTAATTAGACAAATCCAATAAATCATAAATCATTAAATTCTGATTATTAAATATCAAAATAATGTAATTTAATGGTCATTTTTTAGAAGTATCTGGATACTTTTGGCAAATAGATGTATATAGCCATATTTTATATATTTAATATTAGAAATATTTTTAGTGTAAAATTTTTCTATATATATGTATGCTTTTATTTTTCATGTAAAAATATATTAAAGGTTATTTAGTTTAAAATTCATGATGAAGTAATTTAGATATTAATAGATTCTTTATTTGTATCTAATAATCAAATACTCAAGGTAGTGATACTGTTATATTCACATCTAATTGGATTATTATAATTGTTTAATTCTTTATTTATGTCTAATCATATATACTAAAGTATTGCTATACTTTATTCATATTTGATTGGATTATTATTTGTATTAGTTTATTATTTTTCTTATTTTAATAAACCTTCTGCTTACCCTTTATATTTTATTTACATTTATAAATGTTAAAGAATTGATTTAAAAGTATCAGATGTCAGATTAATATCTGAAATACATTATTATATGAAAAAACTGAAATATATTGAGAATTTGAGATTTGAGTTTATGTTAAAGAGTTAATATAAAATCATTAATATTGTAGTCATTAACATTCTTCTTAAACCTTTTGTTATTTTAATAGGTTTACTATATAAAAGATTAAATCTGTTACTTTATAGCTCTGATTTAGAATAGAATTACTAACAAAAAGAAAAATTATACAAAGAATTCCAAGATATATTAATACTACATTATAAAAATTTTAAAAATAAAAAAATAAATAAATGCAAAATTCCATTCTATTTTTTCATTTCTTAATTAAGCATTAGAAAATTAAAAAATTTCATTAAACTATATCAGATGATAATGAAGTGTATAAAAGATCTTTTTAAATCAAATACAATAGATTTGATACATAAAATTACATTAAAAAAATACTTTATTTGAAAAATAATTTTAATTTAAAGTTTAGTAAAATCATTTGCAAAAATAACTTTCTAATTCAATAAAATGCTATTGATAGATTTTTTATAATATTCTGAAGGAATACTTTTTAATGCAATTTTAATATAGTACTTTTCAAATAGTTTTATCAGAAAATTTAATAAAATATGCAAACATAATGTTGAAAAAGTATTATGTCATAATATTGTATATTAATTACAGGTATTATGCAAATGTAATACTATATAAATTATAAAATTTTTTCAAGTTTGCGAAATCTATGAATTTTAAAATTTAAAATTGTATGTTAATATTATTTCAAAATCTAGTGATTGAAATTTTGTAATTTTTGGTTTATCAAATTCGTCTTACTAAAAGGATTTGAATGGTAATAATTTAATATTTGTAGGATTAATATTCATTACATAATTACACTCTAAAAGCCTAAATAAAACCTATGATATTTTCTGATTTTGTAATTAAAATTTTATGATTTATAGCTTT